CCTTGACAGTGCCCATGAATCTACTCATGACCTATCGAGTTCACAGCTATCCCTTTCATCTACTGGATTCGGGAAACCTCAATTCCCTATGGAAATTAGTAACGGGTGTAGTGACGCTCGTTACGCTTCCGCCAACATTCCCCGACCCGTAAAGCTGCTCCGATCCTCCAGCTTTACTTCGATCCATGATATCGAAGACTGCAAGCTTCATCACAGGTCTCCGCCCAAGTAACAAATCTAGACCTGCTTGGCTATATTCAAAATTTTAAAGGTTTTATTGCAGCTGCAACCATTACCTACAGCTTTATGACGGTCATATACAATGCAAGTCATGGAACATTTTATAGCTATCTACAAAACCCCTATTAAGCTTATAAAAAAACCAACTGATGCTTATGCTATTTTCACTTATTAAAGGTTTTATGATTGCCTTGAAGTATAAAAAAAAGCAATATTAATTGCCCTTATAAAACCCAAAAATAAATCCTTATATTGCTATATAAGTAAGCGCAATAAAGCTAGTTGGCCATGAAACAGTTATTTTAAAACAATTATAAGCATTCAGTTGCAACTTGTCAGAAGTGTAAAAGTGCGGTTTATTTCTAGAACATAGAAAAGAATCAAAACTTTCCGGTATTTCCAAGCGGAGCGCAAAGAAAATCAACAAGATTGTTAGCATGAGCCCGTTTATTTGCTACAGTCAGCCGCAAACGCGAATAACTCCAACCAAGAAAAAAAATGCCGCTGCATTTTCTGCGGATGTCACAAGCTGCGGATGTCACAAGCGACCATTCCATTGGTCGAAATACATGGAATGGTGACAGTTCTAGGACAAAAAAGTTGAAATCACGCATAACTTTTCATAAAAGTTAATGTACCATTCAAAACTTTTCCAAATGTTTGTAAAATTCATCGGTTGCACCCGTAAAATAGGAATATACATTTGCCCTCAAATAAAAAAAAATTGAATTGCTCTTGTAAAAAGAAAACAGTGCTCGTAATAAAATCATGCATTATGCTTTTCTGTTCTGCTTTCATTCAATGCACACTGGCACTGGGCCAGGAATGCAACCTAGCGGAGCAAAATTAATAACTCCGAAACGAAGCATTTCCGCGACTTGGTGTCTTCGGCAAAGTTTCTCAACATAATAAGGACCATCTATTGACATAAACAAATAGTTCAAAACTCTTCCTCAAAGATGGCGTCACAATCTAACTTCTTTCTCTGACGTTTTGGAGACTTGATGTCTTCGGCAAAGTTGTTTATCTTGACAAAATGAACAGCTCTTTCAAAGACGTGAAATTTCCACAGCCTACTGGTTCCAAGTTATATAGAGTTAAAAAAAAATGTCGAAAATATGGTTTTTTCTTTCTGTTTCGGTTTTTTGCTTACAACCATATAATGTTGTATTTTTCTCTTATGCAAATGCATTAAATAAATAACTTTTGTGAAGAAACATATTGGATTAAGCTTCAAATTTCAAAGATATTGTTGAAAAAACGAACAATTTTTGAACTTTAAAATCTCCCAAAGCGCAAAAATCCGCAATCTGACATGTTCGGCAAAAATTAAGCAATACTCAATAAACAAAATATTAAAATTTAAGAGAGGTATATTTTGGTTTTTTTTAGATTTCTTCATTTTAGTGGAACATTTTTTTCTATAACTTTTTTTAATGCATTGAAATGGCGTTTTAAAGACTTGACGACTTTGGCAAAGTTGTTAATCTGTTTTATGTCAATAGATGGTCCTTATTATGATAAGAAACTTTGCCGAAGGCACCAAGTCGTGGAAATGCTTCGTTTCGGAGTTATTAATTCTGCTCCGCTAGGTGGCATTCCTGACCCAGTGTGTAATGTAAGCATTAGACATTTTAAGAAATTGCGCTTGGTGTTTTTCTTGCCTGCTGTCCTCTGTCGCCATATTGTCATTATGAAAATGCCATTAGCCTTGGAAATTTCAATAAAATAATGGCTAAATTAGATATCCGAAATGATTTCCAGTGCACAGTGGTCCAGAGCGGAAAAATACATGGAAATTGGGTTTTCCGCAAAATCTACTGGTTGTAGCGTTTTGATGTCTTCGAAAGAATTGTTGGTAATGAAAAAGCGCATCTTTTCATTTGATCAGTCATTAGGGTGATTCAGTTTTAGAGTGACTTCAAAAATCTAACTCTTCAAAGAAATTTTTGGGAACTTTTTTTACTTCTTCAAAGTTGTAGAGGATGCAAAACTAAGCAACTTTGTCGAAGACGTCAAATTTTTATCTCATCATCTATGTATTGTACGAACTGAAACAACTAGAAGGTTAGGGTGATTCATGAAAATACAGTTTTTTGACCATAACCTTTTTTGCTTTGTATTTAGAGAAAACTATTCTTCAGAGCACTTTTAGAACTTTAAAAAACACACATTTTGATCACCTAATTATGACATTTGGACCACTGAATCAGTGTGCATTGGTATGAATTTATTTATTGAGATCTATTTTCTGTAAAATTAAGATGATTCCGTCAAATTAATTTGATTTCTGAAACAATATTTTTTGTTAACTTGAATTATTTTGGAGGCGCATTTATTTAACGCTCATATTATCCCAATATACACGATAAAATTTCAAGCGCATATGTTTTGGAACTTCTAAAAAGCCATATATTTCCTTTAAGATTTTCACTAATGTCGTCATGAAACAAAATTGATTACATGGTGATCTTGACACCAACACTCAAACCTACTTTTATCGCTAAAGATTTCCATATGGAAAAAAAAAGTTTCAGCAGAACAGAACAACAACAAGCTAATATATGGCGGTTGCTTTGAAGCAAATATAAATTAAATTGGATTTATAACTGATTTTCACAAAAGCGTAATAAGACTGCTTGAATACAATATTACTCTTAAAGAGGCTATGAGAACCTTTTGTAGAGTATGAGGCTTTCTGACAAAAGGTTTTAAGACAGCTTTATTGTGATTCTCAAACATGCTTTATAAACTTTATCAAGAGTGGTCCACTAAGCTGTAAGACGATCTTATAGCGGTTATCAAATGGAGCTATTAATTTTATTGATGCGATGAACCGCCGTAGAGTGAGCTTGCACGATTCCGCTGACAGAGACGCTGCGACTTCGAGATGTACCGCTCTAATGGTGAGGCATGTATAGAACACGACCCATAGTTTCACCTGACTTCGACCAATCTTGATCAAACATGGTCCGAAATAACCGATGCCGACCAGGGAAAACGGACGAACGAAAGGTGTCACACGGTGTCGGAGCCATCCGAGGAACTTTTGGTTGGGCCTTGTACACGCGGCACCATTGGCATCGCCGTGCTATTTTCTGAACTTCCGTGCGCAGATTAGAGATGTGAAACTTCTGACGGATCTCATTGACCATGGTCTCTCCATATTGATGACATTGCATTCTGTGATACCGATCGATCAGTAACTCGGTGATGCGATGACTTTTCGGCAAGATCACTGGATATTTTGCGACGTACGTAGCATATGGTGAAGCACCTATACGACCACCTATCCGGAATACATCACAATCGTCGATAAACGGAGATAGATTCCTTATGGGACTGGTCTTCTTGACGTTTGCCCAAGTATCACTACTCCTGTCCGGGTTGAAGAAGAAAAAGGAGAATCTCACGAATTAAAATATCTACCGTTGTTTAGCCAATGCCGAGATGCGTGCGAAGCATTTTACAGTGCACGCCAAAGGTACTCCAGTTAATACAGTTGTTGTAATCATTAATGTAGCAACTCTTTACTACAGCTTTCAGCAGATCTTCGTCCGCCCACGACAAGTGATCAATCCATTTCCCGCGCAGTTTGGCGGACACAGGGTAAACAGTATGAATATCCGAAAATCAACCTTAAAAAAGCGCCCGTCTAGGCCAATAAAAATTGTGAATCCTGATATTGTAAACAGTTGGAGAGCCGTTTGTTTCTATATTTAAACCTGCTAAACTTTCCTACTTCTCGAGCGGATTCTTCCCGGCTAAATCACGTTACATCTGCTTAGGTCAGTTGAATTTGATGTTACACGGGGGGGCCTGCGCTCGTTCGCTAATGAGAGTGTTGATCGAGGCCACCGCACCGAAACGGTGGCCTTTCATCTTCACACATGGACTAAGCTGTACCATGTGTGTTGCTAAATACACCTGATAGCTGCTAAATCTTCATCCGCCCATATCTTGGATGAGCTTGACCGAATCATACTTCCTGCACGATGGAAGCATGTTGAAAAATTCTACAACGACGGCAAAACAAATTGGTTGTTTGTTTTTCGGCCACTTTGTGTTGATGGGGATTTCTAGTTTTTTTTTTAGAGCAGCCTATATTTCGTTCGGGATTTAGGAACGGACGATCGTTCGCAAACAGCTGTCACTCAGCAGCCGTGTGCAACCTGGACGTAATCTAGGGGAAATGATCGACGGCACGATCCAAAAGAAGTGCTGCCTAGACACGGTTGGCTCACTGCCATGACCACCAACATCGCCGGCGGCGGCGGCGACGGATGATTCATTCGATGGAAATTGCGAATTGGAATTTATAGACGGTTCTTAAAATTTACCAATGAACGTATTTACCACTGGGAAATTTGATTTTATCTTGGAAAAAGACGGTATCTCAGGAGCCCATCATCCGATTTTACTGAAATTTTAAAAATAACTTTTTGGTGGATCCTCCTGCCACTGAACGCGTATCTAATTATGTGACTTTTATTGCAGTTATATATAGATGTCTAATGGCTTTTCCAGAGAAAAAAAAAACACCAAACAAATGCATAGCAGTGTTGCCACAACAAAAAAAGAGAAATTGCAATCTCACACCATGAAATTACCTGCACGCTTCGGGCTATAGGTATGAGGCATATAAAATGACGGTATAGTGGTGGTGATGGTGGTGGTGGCGGCGGAGGCGGCGTTGATGATGATTGGCTTCCCCCTTTTAGTTATTAGCTAGCTAGTAGAGAGCGGGCAAATATACGTACCTATGAAAATCTTTCTCCGAATGCATCGGCCACAGCAGCATCACGGAGACGGGTTTCTCGTGGGGCGATAGTCGCCGTTCCTTGCACTCACCGGCCACCTCGGCCAGCTCATAGTTGTTGCCCTGTTGGGGAAAAGGAGAAAACAGTTTGTGAGGGTAACGAAAAACATCTTTTCCAACCGAGTACGACAAGATGAAATTGGGGGTAAGGAAATGTAGGGTAGTAGTTGTAGGCGCAAAAAAAAACAGAGTGAAGAAACAATGTTCATATGGGATGGCTATTAGTAATTTGTTTACATTGTGGGTTCAGGTGTTGGCCGAGACTGAAAGCCGCACAAACAGTTTCTGCAACACGGTGAAAATATGAGTGCTGTTGGAAACAGTTCGTGGAAATTTGTAATACGCTGAGGAACGATTTATGAACCCTCCGGTTGGAAATTTCACGTTATAATCAACAAATAGACCATAGGTTTTCCTGTTCGTGTGGTGAACCAGACGGAGGCTACCGGATATGGACCACAGGGTGTTCGTTCGACTCCTCTCGCTCGATTCAAGCAAAACGCATCATTCAACTTATCCAGCAAATCGCGTCCAGCTCCCTCTTAGTCATTGTCCTGATTACTTTTCAGTCATCGTCCGACCTCATCTACGACGGTCTTGTGAATCGTCTAAAAACACCAGTCCGATCCAGCTCCCTCTCTGTCACTAGTATAATTGTAATTGTAACAGCATCTATTTTCTCTGGTTCATCGACCACTGTGGCCACATTTTGTCCAATAATGTCCCTGAGTTTTCCAGATTTTTCCAGGACTTCAACAGATTTATAATCAAAACTATTAAAAGTTGAACATGTACAAACTTTAAAGTATATTCTAAGTAGAATTAGTAAATTGTTTCATCCTTACGTCGATAGTTCTTTTCATTCTAGATTCTTGACCGAAGAAACATAATAAACTATATTTATAAAAAAATAAATACACAGATAAATGCACAGTTTGCATTATCATAATTTGTTACTATAGTAATCAATATATTTCTGAATTAAAAATGCTTAAATTTTTAACTCAATTCATCATCAAGTTGGATGATTAACTCTTCCGAGCCCGGGGTGTCATAACTGTATTTTCTGATTTCTATGATTAGTTGCATGAAATGAAAAGTAATAGATAGCTACATACTTTCAGCAAAGTTGTAGTTGTGGGTGTCAACTATACAGGAAAAATATGAAAGCAGAAGTTTATAGCAATACTCAAAGGCCTAGATCTCCAAAACCTTATGAAGTTATTATGTTGACGAACACAGACTTTAATCTGGACAGCGACGATATCTTTAGCAACGGATCATGCACTGCCATATTAATTCAACCCAATTTAACAATTCTAGATGAATTTTCTTGGATGCAACATGTTCTAAATACTCCAAATTGTCCAGGAGTTCGGACTATTTGATCTTCTGGATCAACCAAGGCCTGCGCGCTGCCCTCAGTGACGACACCTACCCAAACATGTTCATTGAGTTTTTACGCATCACTTACATTTTGATATGATATAAGACGCTCAACGTTCTCCAAATTATCCTGGAGTTCAGATCAAATGATCTACCAGATCATCGATGACTGATACAATGCCCTTAGTTGCGAAACAACTCAAAACAGAGAGATTTGCACAACATATGAATATGATATTAAATCTGGTTTTGAAAGTTAGTGCACAGGTAAAAAGTGACGTTACGGGACGCCACTGGTTCAGACTATTTGATCTACTGGATCAACCAAGGCCTACACAATTCCCTCAGTGACGACACTTGCCCAAACATGTTCATAGAGTTTTTGCGCATCACTTTTAATCTATTTGGATGTTTATAAGATGTTCAAGGTTCTCCAAATTATCCTGGAGTTCAGATCAAACTATTTATTTTATTGAAAAGATTTTTAGTCATTGGCTGGTTCGTCTCAAGTCAGATTCATTAGTTACGAAACAACTCCAAACAGGTTCATAGAGATTATGCACATCATTTAGGTTTCAGTTCCACGTGTATAAGACGTTCTAGGTTCTCCAAATTGTTCAGGAGTTTAGCCTATTTGATTTACTGGATCAACAAAGACCTGCACGATATCCTCAGTGCTAACACCTACCCAAACATGTTCATAAACTTTTTTCGCATCACTTATAATACATTTTTAAGTATATAAAATGCTCAAGGATCTTTGAACTACCCTGGAGTTCAGATCAAATGATCTACCAGATCAACCATGACTGATACTAGACCCTTAGTAACGTAACAATTCCTAGCAGGTTCATTGAGATTATGCACATCATTTACGTTTTAATTCTATGTGTATAAGATGTTCTAGGTTCTCCAAAGTGCCCTGAAGTTCAAACTATTTGATCTACTGGATCAACCAAGGCCTGCATGATTCCTTCAGTGACGATGTCTGCACAAAGATGTTCATAGAGTATTTGCGCATCACTTACAATCTATTTTGAGGCATATAAAATGCTCAAGGTTCTCAAAACAGTCCTGGAGTTCAGATCAAATTATCTACCAGATCATAAATGACTGATACAATACCCTTAGTTACGAAACAACTGCAAACAGGTTCATAGAGATGATGCAAATCATTTAAGTTTAAATTCTATGTTTATAAGATGCTTTAGGCTCTCCAAATTGTCCAGGAGTTCAGCCTATTTGATCTACTGGATCAACCAAGGTCTGTGCGATGTCCTTACCTACCCAAACATGTTCATAGAATTTTTGTGCATAATTAATAATACATTTTGGGGTATATAAGATGCTCAAGGATCTCCAAATTATCCTGGAGTTTCGATTAATAGATCTACCAGCTCCAGAGCGTTAAGTTATTGACTGCTTAGGCTGAGTGTGCAAGCACTGCACTATTCAATCCATTGCTCTGTGCAGACCGTTTGTACCAAACGGTAAAGGACGAGGCAATGAAAGAGTCAACAAAAACATTCAGTCACTCACGAACAGGCGACTCACACCGCATATAATTGAAGCATCTCGATATACATCTACAAAAAAAGCTTGCTTAAGGTGATACTCTAAGGAAGCCTTAGCGTGAAACTTCAAAGGCACAAATGTCACCTTTCATAAAACATACAAATTTGAAATTGCTACTCTCTGTTTGTACTAGCACAGCAAACAAGGAGTAGCAATTTCAAATTTGTATGTTTTATGGAAGCTGACATTTGTGCCTTTAAAGTTTCACGCTAAGGCTTCCTTAGAGTATCACCGCTTAAAGTTTTCAGCAAGTTTATTTTTTTCCTTGATTTGTTTTCCGTCGATCTTGTTTTCCGTGCTGAGCACCAATGCTACCGACGCCAGGGAGGCAGCTCCCGCACCTGGACCCTACCTATCGACGACTCATGAACCGAGGACCAACGGCGTTACCTCCCATCCGAAGGAAGGCGTGATCAGAGATGTTATGCCTCAGAACATCCCGGCGGCGTCGACTGGGATTGAACCTAGGCCTGATGGGGTGAGAGGTAATCACGCTTACCACTACACCACCGGCGCCGCTAATCAGCAAGTTTATGATCCGTTTCTTACCTCGATTTACTCCATGATACGAGAAGACATATTTGGCATGGCTATTTTTTCACCCTTCAAAGTTTTTTCTGACTGTTTCTGAACTCAACGCTAGGGGCAGACATTCACTAAGTTCTCCTACATCTTACTTATGCAACAATTGTCTTTAATTCCATTATATTTCCCCTTCAGCACATTTTGAGATCCGCACGAAAATGAGTCCGGATAATACGCCTAATCAAAAACTTATTCGAGACCAGATTCCTCCGATTGGTAATCGTAGAAACAGCACTTTCACCTCCAAAAATATGTAAGTTAATTTCATCTCAACCCAAGCAACTAATAAGCCGAAAATGGCCCTTCTTGCCTTATACGAGCCTCATCAGAACTTAGGAATACTGGTAGTCAAAAGGCGAAATAATGTGCCTATGGACTTGATAATTACAATAGCAGCAACATCACAATAGAATATTCCGAGCTAACCAGGTTTAAAATGAAGACCTAGAAAACTTAATAAAGCATAGAGTGGCTTTATTTAGTATTCTAGGCTGTCAAGGCAATGCATGTCTAAGTTTCAGGATCATTATTCAACTATAAAAGTGCTACTCCATGCAATAAAAAAAAATCATCCAAGCAATACCTGTTAGCAGAGCGTGAAAAAAAAACAACTGATCGCTAAGGATTGTAACAGTGGAATGAATATTTTTTTATTAATCGTTCTTTACAGGCTACTTTGATAGGTTTAGGTTTCAGCTGGTTGCTGTGATTGTTCGTTATCTCAACACTCCTCCTCGAACTGAACAGGTAGCACACCAGCCGCTGTTCGATGTTTTGATATCTTGAGTTTGTTCAATGGTTTGGTGAGCATGTCCGCAACCATATGCTCCGTTGGACAGTAGATCACGGACAGCTTAACTTGTTGAACAAGATCCTTGGTGAACTGGAACTTGATGTCAACGTGTTTGGATGGCACTCTGGTTGTCCTCGAGTAGTAGATTTGAGTTTCCGGCTCGTGGAAATCCTTCATCAGCTTTCGAATCCAGAGAAGTTCTTGACATGGCTCTGCATCAGCAATAAACTCAGCCTCCGTTGAAGATAGGGAAACGCAGGTTTGCTTCCTTGCTGCCCAACTGATCGCACCTCCACCGAACATAATCAGAAAACCGCTATTGGATTTAAGGTCCCGATGATCGCCTGCCCAATCTGCATCCGCTCAAGCCTTCAGTTCAACATTCTTGCCGCCCAAATGCAATCTAAAATGCTTTGTCCCTAGGAGATGCCGCATAGTGCGCTTTGCTTCAGTCCAATCTGCTGCATTTGGGGCACTCACCTTTCGCCCAAGTAACGAAACGCTGATCGCTACATCTGGCCTCGTATTGATCGCTATGTAGAGCAAACCACCAATCAAACTGGAGTACGAAGTATTGTTTGGTAGCTTGCTGGACTCCTCCTCCTTTGCTTGAAGATAGCCGGGCTCCATCGGGATAAGTGATGGCTTTGCCGTTTCGAGTCCGAATCGCGACGCCAGCCGCTGGATGTAGCACTGTTGGTTGAGCAGAAACCTTCCATGATTTTCCCGCTCCACCTTTATGCCCAGGTACTGCCGCCCATCGCCATGGGAAGTGGTTTTGAACTTCCTCGATAATGCTTTCAGGATCGCTTCATATTCCGCCTCGGTCTCACACACGATGAGCATATCGTCGACGTACAGAAGGGTGAACGCTTGCTTCTCACCCTTGGTTCTTACGTATAGGCACGCATGAGCAGTTGGTTGTAGTAATCCCAGCTTCTTGAAGCAATCGTCAATCGTCTGGTTCCAAATTCGGCCGGATTGCTTCAGACCGTAGAGGCTTTTCTTCAAATGGCAAAATTCTGCGGGATTCCCAATCTCGTATCCTTTCGGTTGACGCATGTATACGGCCACGGTAAGCGTCCCATACAGGTAGGCCATCTTGACATCGACGTGTTTCACTAGAAGTTGACGACGGGTGGCAATGGTTAGCAAAGAACGAAATGTTACCTGTTTTGCCACCGGAGCGAACACCTGGTCGTAGTCAGTGCCGAACTTCTGACTAAAACCTTGTGCGACCAGTCTCGCCTTGTAGCGTGTCACGTTTCTATGCTCGTCCAATTTCCGCTTGTACAGCCATTTGCAGCCAACCGCCTTTCGTCCATCTGGAAGGGCCTCAACTGTCCATGTCGAGTTATCTTGAAGGGACTGGATCTCTTCTTCCCTCGCAGCTATCCACGGTTCACTCTCTTGTCCGCTTACTGCTTCTTAATATGTACGTCCTCGGTTCAGTAGCTGCTGCCATGTTACTTGCTTCATGGTACCGTTGTGGGGCGACACCTTTGTTAGACCGCTCTGATCTTCGTAGGATGGTTTCATCCAAATCTTCATGAAGGGACTCGTCGCAAGAATCGAAGTCCGTGTCGGTTACGTCCGACCTTCTATCGCCATTTTCTTCGTCAATGTCTGGATCGTTTGGATCCGGCACTTCTTGATGTGCTTCAGCCATAGGAGGTAACGGCTGTAGAATTTCCTCGTACGACTCCTCCTCCAGATTAGGAACGTCGTTACCGGGCTGGACCAACTCCTCCTCAAAGAAACGAACGTCTCGACTGATGATCAGCTTGTTAGTGGCCATATCAATGAATTTGTAGGCCTTGTGGTTACTGGAATAGCCGACGAACGTCATTTCCTTCGACTTATCCTGGAGTTTGCTTCGCTTTTTGTTCAGCACATAGACACATATCGTCTACTAAGCACATATATATATTTCCTCTACAGCACATATCGTCTACTAAAGATACAAAATAGCGATATCCACTCACAGAGGGTGTCTCCAGTGGTCCATACACGTCCAAGTGGATGAGGTCTAATGGTGTGGAGGTCTTCTTCTCGGAGGTCTTGGGGAAGGGAGTTCGAGCCTGCTTTCCTTTCACACATCATTTGCAACCTTCACGTATTCCGCAATCTGCAACTTTAATGCCGGTAACAAGCTTCTTTTTCAGCAGAACATCCATTACATCCCACGCGGTCTTCGCATTTTGTTTCTTCGATCCGAATTGCTCTCGAGCTTGCTCTCTCTTTAGCTTCTTGCAGTCCAGTTGTTTGTGGCCAGGCTTCTTGCAGAAATGACACACAATCGGCTTTCGTCCCGCCGCTTTCAATGTCGTCCCTCCGGTTGCGTTACGATTTTGCTTGCTTACCTCGTCCAGTAGCTTCTCCCGGATCAGGTTCAGCGTCAAGGCATTATCCGTACGTGTTTCGAGGGCAGTCGTCAATGCGTTGAATGATTTCGAGAATCCTCGCAAGATAAAGGCCACCATGGTATCCTCTCCCAGGTCCTTTCCTGCGCTGCACAGCTTCGTGTACAGGACTTCCATCTTCGTGAGGTAATCGTCCATATCTTCACCTTCCGTGTATGGGGTTTCGCACATCCGTTGTACACGGGAAAAAAAGAGTTCCCATATTCGTGAACCACAGCCGTGAACCATAGTTCACGGTGTATATTTGAGAAAATTTTGTTCTGGATAGCTGGCCGTGATTTTTAGTTCACGGTCCGTTCCCGTTTTTGGGAACGGATTTTTTTCCGAGTAGTAACGAAACCCTAGTGGACAACGTTGCCTTTTGATGATGCATGGCCAACGCCACCCACGCTTCCTTCGCCACTCGAATCACGCCAAACTGATTTTCCTCCAGCAGTAGCAGAATCGTTGCACGGGCCTTTTCATCGCCTTCCAGCTACACCGCCGAGGCACCCGCCGCCGCTTGACCTTCTCCAGCTGCCGGTGGGTTGTTCTTGATGTAGGTCCACAAACCTTCCCGGATCAGCAGCGCTTCGGTGCGAAGCTTCCATGCTTCATAATTTGCGTTGTTCAGCTTCGTAGAATTCTTCAGATCCATTCTATTGCAGGTTTGGCTGCGGTCTTGAACTTCTAGAAACTTCTCCAGGAAAAAACTTACACGTTGCTAAGGGCCCATAATCTGTTAGCAGAGTGTGAAAAAAAAACAATTGATCGCTATTAAGAACACAATAAGGAGAACTACAAGTAATCAGAACTAAATCATCCTCTTCTGTTAACTCTGTACCATTCATGTATTTACTCAAAGGCGCTCCAATGCAAGGATTGGTTTTTGTTGGACACAGCTGAATCGAGCAGACGCAGGAATCTACTCTAAGTTTAAATTTTGTCAGATGCAATTAGGTGTAACATCTATTAAGAGACGCACATACCCATTCGGGGGATAAATTTTGCAACAACTCAATCAATCTCAGTTCAACTCAGGAATGTGTCAACACCCAGTGGTGCCTGAATTTGTATTAGGTTCAAAATTATCAAAATACCCTTTTATTGGATTAATTTTTGCTCAACTTGCAAAAATGCAACAACAAGCATTGAGCAACTACAAGTTCGCAACTCTAATTAAAATTTGAAATGAATAACCATCCTCAAACTACATCGAGTTACTAGGTAGTTTGAAATTTGCGAAATCAGTCATACTTTTTAATAAGATTGTGATTAAGAAATATTTTCCTTGAATTTGAATGAAATTCCCAGAGATTCGCTGATTTTCCAGGTCCAAAAACAAATTCCCTGATATTCCCTGATGTTCCAGGTTTTCCCAGGTAGTCTTTATACACACTAAGATTATTTTACCGAAATCTGTGAAATTTTACCGAAATCTCAACGGCTGTAATTTTTCAACGAATATCTGTGAAAAATCACAGAAAATCTGTGAAAAATCACCGAACTGTTTACCGAACGTTCAGCTGTTGAGATTTCGGTAAAATTTCACAGATTTCGGTAAAATAATCTTAGTGTGTAAGGTAAGGAAAATATGACGAAAGGGTCGAGAGGTTAATTATTCCTCAATTTAACATGATGTACTTAATGGATGAAATTTGAAGAGCATTGTAGAGATAATTTAAGGATGTTTCTGATGAAAATACCTATAGAGTATTCTGCTATAAAGATCTAGGGAGCTCAGCTAACTACCATTTGATGTCAAAGGGAACAATGAGAAATAGTGGCCAAAACTTGTAGATTTTTTTTTATGGGAACTCAGTTTTGAGTTTAACCAGCAAGAACCTTACCGTCAGCCCCAACCGTTCGACAATGCAGGAAACGATCTCCTCCGCCGTGGTCTGCTTGGAGGCTTCCACACTGAGCGCTTCATAGTGTAGTGAAAGCGCCCCCACGTACACCTGTAAATAGAAGAATAACGAAAACCTATGAAATACTTTTCATATCACCATTAAATTTCAATGCCTTAGTTAAAAATATTTCAATCAAAAATATACAGCTTTTCCAATTCCCATCGAAACGATTACCATCACAGTACTTTGCACCGTGACAAAAGTGAAAATCTTGTAAAAATTCGCCATAAAACCCCCTTCATTCAGCGAGCGACGATGCAATAAATCAAACGATCACAAAACCTTCAACGGCGGCAAGTCATCGACCTTCCTCTTGTCGTAACCGCGATCATCCTTCGATAAAAGTCTAATTTCTCACCGCCGCGGCGTCGTCGTCAGTACGCATTGTGAGAAGCACACTGGAAAACCGCGAGCTCGCGACAGTCAGTCACTCAAGTCGTAATCAATAAATAGTTTGAATTTCCGGTCGCTATTTTGCAATTACCCTCCTCTGCTCGCTCGCGTCCTAGTACACCTAGATACGTTTTTCTTGGCACGCGGCGCGGCGCTCAAACGACGACCACAGTGAGAAAAACAAAAATGAAAGTGCTACAACTTGTTGTTGTTGTTGTTGTTGTTGCCGTAGCTGCCGACGGATGCTGGAAGAGTCGCCGCAACAATCACCGACGAGCGACCAGCTGACTGTCACACAGTCACGGCGCACCGTATGCAACGTAGATGAATGATCGAAGAAAGGCTTGCAGCAGCAGCAGCAGCAGCACCACCACAGTCGACAGTCGCCAAGGTGCGTGTATGAGGAAGGGGTGGGTGGTGGTGTGCGGTGTTAAATTCACACGATCTCCAACCCCTGGCCCGAGAGTCCGATGCGATATGGTCAGGTTTAGTTTACTGCAGGCAGCTCTCAACTCGGATTGGATTCAAACGGAGTGCACCACGACGATGACTGCGACGGTACGGCTAATGCTGAGTTTCGTAACATTAGCGGAAATGAACTTGTTTTGATCGCAGTGATTTGCGTAATGTGAAATGATTTATAGGACAATTTTCCAGCGAGTGGTCAGTACCTAGAGTTTTGCAATTGCTCCATAAATCAATTACGGTTCTAAAGTTGAGTGGATTGTTCGGTTCATATGTGGGACAATGGTTCAATGCAAGCTTGTAGACGACGTAGGAGTTAAATCTAGGTCTACGAGTAGCTGCATAGGCCCGTGAGTTCTCTCATGTGTCAATAATCAAGGGACAGGTAATACATTTTGGTGGCAATGTATAGCGCCAGGTGTTCCGACGGAAATTAGTATTTTATTGTTTTGTGCTACTCACAGATAACTTTAAACTATTATCTGGACTTATCTGGACTATTTAGAAAACCTTCTGAGCATATCATTGCTATGAATGATCTCTGGTCTCAAAGTATTGAAAAGTTTCAGAACTTGCCTTTTGGGTTTCCCAAGCATTTAGAATTGACATTTCTCAGGATGTTTCCAGATTTCGATCATTTAATTTGCTTTATATGTTAATGGATCTCTAGGTGGATCCATCCATGAACTCACGAAAAATATAGTTTGTTCTTAAATTGGAAGTCTTCTATACTTATTATGCAAATCTCTAGTTATGAATTCAATCTGGAGGCCATCAAGATTTAACTCGAAAGTTTCTGTCCTTACTCTAGATGTGATGTTAGCTGAATAGAATTACTCTGTGCAAACCCTCCCAAGTAGCACACTGGAAAACCAGGGCTAGTGCCTAGTTTAATGTAAGAAAGTCCAACACTGAATCAATAATGCAGTTGATGAATGGATCGTCAATGGGTGAAACCTTTCAGCGAACCACTCATAGATGATCGAGAGCCGTGTGTAAAAGGTAAGGCGGTGTTAGAACTGTGATCCTAGATTCGACTGGACATATACGTGTAGATCTTTCTACTAACCTTCCAAACGGTGAAGTGGCTCCTTGCCCAGTAGGCTTGATAGAAGACGGTGTTTCCAAAAAGTGGTGGCGTATTTTGGCGAATGATAGCCTATCGATGGCGCTTCGAAGACAATGTCGATTGTTTACAATGGCTGGTAATTCACAATCTTACGGCGCCATAGCCGTGTCGATCCAAATAGCAATCCAAATCCCTCCGTGCCAGCGTAGTATCCGGCTCGAAGGACCAATGTTTGGTATTCTGGTCCTTAACTTCGAGTTTTGAACGTTCGCTACACGAATCGCAACAAATGTAGTCCACGTTGAAGGTGTTGATTCTAGCCATCGTAGCACGCAGGTAGAATCCACCCAGAAGAATACTTTCATGTCCTGCTTGAGAGACTGTAACACTTTCTCCGAAAGCTGTGATGCCAGTAGCGCTCCACAAAGTTCCAATCTGGTAATTGACTGTGTTTTTAGGGGTGAGACCATTGATTTTGACGTCAGCAAAGCAACACGATAGTTTACACCTGAATCGTAACTTCTGCCCTAGCAACACACTTGTCACTTAATAGTGGTTGTTACTTGTATGCACCTTATTTCAGTCACAATCAAGTTGCAGCAACCTATTTTGATGGATGTGTGTTGCTTGGGTGATGTACGCACATGCACCGTAGGCCTTGTGTGATGCGTCCGAGCAAAGATGCAGTTCAGTTGTGATCGCCTTTGGAATAACTACGCATCGAGGAACCGTTATCTCATTCTAGTATGGTAACTTTCAGTGGAACTTTCGCCATTCTTCCATGATAGGATGCGGTAAAGTTGCGTTCCAATCAAGCATTGCTATAGCCGTTGTATATAAACCTTTGCTGTCGTTGTCACAGCACCAATAATTCCTAACGGATCGATTAGCGTAGCTATCACGGATAGAACCTTCCGCTTTGTCATCAGTTCAGATGAATCTAGAGAATTGATGTGGAACTGAAACTTCAGGACGTCGGTTCCTGGACGCCACACAAGTCCCAGTGTCCTTATCGATGGATCAGGACCTAGCTCAACCTCTTCGTCCTTTGCCAACGCCAACCGTTCTACTGGTATGCCTTGCAGAACTGCTGGACAATTTTACGCCCACTTGCGTAATTGGAATCCACCACTTTCCAGTAAAGCATCCAGTTGTTTTCGTAATTCTGCGGCCTCTAACGTCTTCGTCCATCACCTTAGCTGCTAGTGGATGACGTTTTTGCTCGTCGGAAGATAGTTGCTGAAGAGATTTTGTCGCCAAATATGGTACAGGTTTAGTCCCATACGTTACAGTGGTAAGTTCGTATACTTCCACTTCTCCGATAGGACTTCTTCCCCACAGGATACTTTGCAGCCGAATATCGAGAGCGCACATCCAGATCTGCCGAAACATCTTTTCAACGTCTGATACCATCACGATCAGCCTTGTTCGACCACGTATGACTATCGAACGAAGGTCCTCTTGAATTGTTGGCCCCACCAACAGAGCATCGTTCAAGGAGATTCAAGTTGAGGTTTTACAAGAAGCATCAAATACCACTCTGACCTTCGTTGTGGTACTGGATTGCTTGACCACAGGATGATGAGGTAAGTAACAACGAAATCCTTCTTCTATTTCTTGTAGATTACTTTCCACCTTGCGCATGTGACCTAGCTCGAGGTACTTCTTCAAAAATGCATGATACTGCTGAAATCTGCATCCTTGGCCAGTCTGTTCTCCAACCCTTGAAGCCGTTTCATTGCGATGTCTCTTGACTCTCCGATTTTCGAGAGGATGGCACCATTTTTGGGAAGTGACACCGTATATCTGCCATCCGATCCTCTACTCACTGAAAATGCAAATTGCTACTCGCAACGATGTTCCTTCGGTGAATAGTTTTTGGGAGACCCTATCTTCTCACAGGACCAGATTCTGGAGAGTAACTCTTCCTGGTCGACCGTAGTGGCCACGCTACACGATATTTTCGGATTCCTCATTTCTTTATCGATGTTGCCACAGACAATCCAACCAAATACAGATTCCATTAAGTTCGGCCGATCATCTGAATCTTTCCAAATGAATCTTTCCGTTGGAACTCGAAAAAATGTTGAATTCCAAGAATTGTTGTTGAAGTTGGATCAGCTAATTAGATACCATCAGGTATACTCCAGTTGTTGATGGCGATCGTTGAAGTAGGTAGATTGAAAGTCACCCTTGGTAGTAGAAGAAATTCCATACTACCTGTGAATTCCGATGTTCTAGATTTGTACATGGCTTGCGAGTTGGCCTGATCTATGTCAAGAACTGTTACATCCGAACTACTCCGTTTGACTTTTAACCGTTGGCATAGGCGTTCAATCATGAAATTACATTCGGGTCCTGAATCCAACAGAGCCCTTGCTGAATATGTACCTCCTTCGTCATCCTCCACTAAGACGACTGCTGTTGCGAGAAGTACTGATGATGTACAGTGCGATGCTACATTTGATGATACGGTTCCTTATGTCGAAGCGCCTTCTGTCCTAGCACTTTTTTCCTTATCGTTGCCAAATTTAGTAGAACTGCGTTCAGTAGACCCCTTGATCTCTGAATCCTTGCCTCTATCCTTATCAGAGCGAAAGCAGACCATATTGAGTGTTTACCCTTACAATGTAGACAAACAAATCTTGAAGCGCATTTTGAACCTTGATGACCTCGTTTCAGGCAATTCCGACACAGGGAATGATTCCGAATCAATTTGTCGCGGGCCGAACTCGACATCCGTTGAAACGATGAGCACTGATGGAGTAAGTGTGTTTCGGAACAAGCTACACATCGCCCCCTGACGATTGTACAGCGGCATGACTTGTACGAGAGACCATTGGTACTGGCTTCCCTTTGACTGTTTGCGAATGTGAATGTGAATGTATTCCGTCACCTTCCCCGGTAACGAGCTGAGAGCCTTTACTCGCAAGTCAAGTACAAGGTTAAGGCATCCATCAAATCTAGAACATCGGAATTCACACGTAGTATGGAATTTCTTCTACTACCAAGGGTGAATTCCGATGTTCTAGATTTGATGGATGCCTTCACCTTGTACTTGACTTGCGAGTTGGCCTGATCTATGCCTGTTACATCCGAACGACTCCGTTTGACTTTCAAC